TTTGAAATCGTCTTGGATCATATCTGGCAACGAAAGCAATACTACGAGAGCGATGTGCAAGAGTGAGAGGCAAACCAACGTAAGGTCGACGAGCTCGCAGACCAACCTCGCACAATTGGTTCCTTACAGGGTTTGTGTAAAGTTGGCATATGTGATTGCCTATCGTACCAATAGCGGTTTCAGTGACAGTGACGTGGCGATTATGGAGGTGGGAAAGACGAATAGTCTTGTCTTCACGTCGCGTTGTTACGTGCGGACGGCCAAATCGTGGGCGGTCGGCAACCCTTTCGATGTCTCTCAGACGACAGACAAGACGTTCTTTGGTAGCAACATTCACACGAAACTGTATAGCAACCTGTTGTTGCCTTTGACATGGCATTGGCAATGCAATAGCCTTACCCATCTGATTTTCAGTCTGCTTTAAATCGACAATAAATAGCGGGAAACGATGTATATACATCGAAAGAGTACCAGCGGTATTGCAAGATGTGTCGACGAATTTGTCATCATTAGTCTGAACGTATTATTTGTATTTTAACACGGAGCATGACACGGTTGAGTAACTTCAGACAACGGTGTACAAGTGCACAGTGACCAAGATATTTGTCTGAACGGGTTCCATAATTTTAAGTTAATAAGTGAATAATTGGTGTATATTTGTAACCCTGCGTTTCTTTATTATTTCAGTATATTAACGTCTTTTTTTAAGTGAACATATGCATAAATGTCGTCCTTCCAGAGAAATCCAAATGTGAAGCGCTAAACATGGAATATAGCTGAGAACTTCAGCAGTGAAAACACAAATCACTTGCCTTATCTACACTTGTTACATGTAATGAAATATGTCTACATTAGCAAATTAGTATTGATTCTTTAATATTTGATTTTCCATAAAGCCGATATAAATATCAGCGTTGAGACTATACTTCAAACGGTTTCAGTTTTCCCAAGTGTCACCTAATTTGCATCAATAAAATATATTCTCCTCAGACAATTTCATACACAACCTTGATGTTTCGAGTTGTGATGACAGGGATTGGGTGTGGGAGGTAAAAGTGTTGTGTGTGTGTAAATGAGGGGGCGGAATCTATGAATTATGTTTCGACCACTTCTGTGAGGAAGTCTGTTTGGAGTCGAATTATAATGTATTTTATTGTATATTTCGGAGATAAATTACCTTTTTTACTTTTGTATACGATAAGTGTAAAGATGACAGGAAGTCGTAGAATCATTGTAGTCGATGGGATTCGTCTCGTACATCCGACGACGGGTGATTGAATCGGACAACATGTTACATCGTAAGTTAGGTTGCTATTATGTTTGCGGAAGTCATCACAGCGCATGCACATTATAATATATTCCGGACACAATTCCGGACGGGATTTATGCTCAGTCAGTCAGTAGCAAACATACATACACTACAATTATGAAGTGTTAGAAAGCACTAATAAAACTGTCATTCAAAAAACAACATAACGTTTTCACAATAGCTAATACTGTACATGATAGAATAATATGACCTGTAAAATAATCGTGTTATGCAATTCAAGTGGCTACCGCTAGAGAAAAACCATGTTAACAAAATCGTTAGATGACGTGTACAATTGGGAACTTTTTCTCAAAGTTTAACGATTAAATATATATTTAGCAGTTATTTGTAACTGACCAAGTTTCCTGTATTTGACAGGGGATATCAGGACACATGTAACACATGGTGTAGGAAGTCTATACTAGGGGGCACACGTCAAGTTTTCAGGCTTTTATCTACAAGGTGTTTTTTTATTATTTTCGTTGCCTTTAGGCGTTCCCGTGACTACTGTGTTGTCTTTGGTTTATCAAGGTTTAGGCTTAGTCCATCAGTTAGTTGAATATTGATGCTGATTTCCAATGATTTATCGAGTGGTGTTAATTTAATAAGGAACTACGAAATACGAAACGCGTATAAGTAGTTTAGCACAGCTGTTGCTAATGGAATATGAATATCAGACATCTTACCTAAACGATATGGCGGTGGTCTGCCCGAGAAGGATTAGCAATATCAAAAGGGAGATTACCTGTATACGTGTTCCATGAGCGTGCATGAGACACTTGTTTTCATAAGAAACCATGTTTATCTATGGATTTGCTTTTTATAGTCGAACACTGTTGTGATCGTTAAAGGGCATGACGTAATGACATTCGTTTTATAAATAGACTGCCGTAGCGTTCCATTAATAGGTGTGCAATCCCCTTTCTATAAAAAGGATGGTGACTTCCGGTTCACATTAGCACTATACAAGCTCATTGATGACATTCATAACTGTTTTATCAACTTCTAGATGGAGCTTCAGAAAGTAATAAAATTAAGCATGTTTTACTTTACAAAAGCAGAACAACCTCGCGAGTGGAATACAGTTGTATTATTTCCTCTCAGTTAGATTATGTAAACTTTGAAAATTGTGTTACACAAGCAAGCTGCTTTTTTTTTTGTATTTAATGGCCCATCGACAATGTAAGTCATTTAGGGCCAACGATACTGTAAAAAGAGACATTTACGAAAATAAACAAATCAAACCAAAACTTTATAGCTTAAAATATGCAAGGGTTTGAAGAAATACATCAATATCGAACAAATTGACTGCACAATATATCATATTTTATATAGATCAATAGTCAAATATTAATTGCACAGAAACTGTATCGAATAATCTTTTCATAGAAGGTACATCATAACACCTGTCACGTATTTGTTTGAAATCAGCGCATTGAATCATAAAGTGTTTGACCATGTGAGATGTAGGTATGGCGTATGCGCAGTCGCGAGAGGACAATTTCCTCTCTGAAATCTGCTCTATTTGTGGCACATAAACCCACATTAGGTTGACTCGTAAATAATTTGCTGTTTAATTCTTCAAACCATTTATTTTGCCAATTCGCTTGAATAAAATGTGTTATAGAAGGTTTAAAATCAAATTTCCGTTGATTCCGACATGACCTGGTATCAAAATCATGATCAGGTGGCAAAACAATAAAATTCTATTAATACGAAGGGCGATGTTTTGTATGAGAATAGTGTACTATTTCCGATTTTTAATACTTATAAAGTACTTTAACACTTTCACTGTGTGGCACGGAACATGACAAGGTTGAGTAACTTCAGACACCGGTGCACAAGTGCAAAATACATACAAAATAGTTACAAATTCGTACTCACGCTTGAAAACAAGACGAAATATATCTGCCACTATAGAAACGTACAGCTTTACTTAGAGTTGGGAATGATACCGACAAAGATTTACCGAGATTTAGAGTTTAGACAGCATCCGTGGTTAAAGAAATATATAGATTTTAACAGTCAAAAAAGACATGAAACTTCCTCCGAATTAGAAAAAAAAATCTTTAAATTAATGAACAATTCTGATTTTGGTAAAACCATGGAAAACGCACGCAATAGGGTTGTCATAAAACTGTCTCACACGGGGAGAAAATAGAAAAAGTACGTGGCAAAACCGTCATTTCAAAGATTCAAAATATTCAACGAGGATTTAGTGGGAATAGAAAACAGCAAAATTAAACTCGAACTCAACAAACCCGTGTATGTAGATCAATGTATTTTGGATCTCTCTACAACCACATGATGTCTAAATATGACAACATACGTCTGTTAACGACCGACACCGACAGTTTGATGTAGGAAATATCAGACGTTTCAGACTTGTACGAAACACTACACGAAGATATCCGACCAATCACCCAATCTATGATGTTACAAAGAAAAAGATACCGGGAAATTTTAAAGATGAATTAGGTGGAAAGATTTTACAAGAGTTTGTTGGATTAAGACCGAAAAAGTATTCCTATGCGTACGATTATAGCTCTGACAAGGCACGAAAATCGAAACAGATAGCAAAAGGTATTAATCGAAGTATCATCGTACGCGACTTACGTCACGACATGTATCTAGAATGTCTGTTTGGATCTAAAACCATTATTTGCGATATGAATTCCATCAGAAGTGACAGACACGACTTACACGTATACACCATTAGAAAAGCCGGTCTCTGTAGTTTTGACGACAAACGCTACGTAAAATAAAATGGTGAAACGTGGGCACACGGTACAAAAACAATGTCTATGCTTGCCGAAATGTCGAAATACAAGCTTTTTAATTATATGTTGTGCATCTTACGAGTTAACTTTATACTAATTGTTGTACATGCTTGTCTGAAAGTCGAAATACAAGCTTCCCATCGTATTGTCGACAAAGTATAAGAGTTACTTCCCTTGTATCATGTTTAAGTCGGCACAATTTCAGCGCATGTCTTAGGTAGAAATTTTGAAAATACACTACAGTTACCACAGCCTATTGTAATATGATCTTTGTACATGATAAAAAAATATATTTTATCCTACATTGTGTTTTATTTCTTATTACATAATCCTACGGATGATTATATCGGTTACATGTTCTTGATTTTCTATATATTTACAAAAAAATACTTCTACAAAGACATAGATAGGATGTCTGCGAATGAGACAGTTCAAGTCCCCCGAAACCCTCCCCCATTTTAAACTTATGATGGTATCGATGTAAAAAAGATGCTTGTTTCTAAATTCTGGATATTTTATTTTGATTGCTTTAATTATCATTTTAAAAATGTATCTCTGACATATATTAAAACTATAACATTCAAATAAAACCTTCACCGACTGGTAGGCATATATTCCATATCATGTCGGACTCTTGTATTTATTAATATGATACATTTGCTTTAATTCTACCTATACGGTATGTCAATAAATGAGTGATTTAAAAGCTATTTAAAAAGGTAAGAATTTTTCAAATGATTAAACTAAAGAATTATTCCAAAAATTAAATAATAAGTTTAAAAGGTTACATACCTTATAGACAGAACTAATCATTTACTGCTTGCTAGAATAGGGATGGTAACGCTGCGGCGTCTGATAGGGTAGTGATGGCCCTCTTTCCAAACTTATGTTAGAATAGTAAGCCTCCAGCGATGGTATGGAGCCGTACTGGACCCCCTCCACAGGTGTCAGCGTTTGGAAACCAGTCGTCAGGTTACACCTATATCAGTCGTCAGTGTACACCTATATCAGTCGTCAGTTTACACCAATAACAATCGTCAGTTAACACCTATATCAGTCCTCAGTTTACACCTATATCAGTCGTCAGTTTACACCAATAACAATCGTCAGTTAACACCTATATCAGTCCTCAGTTTACACCTATATCAGTCCTCAGTTTACATTTATATCAGTCCTCAGTTTACACCTATATCAGTCCTCAGTTTACACCAATAACAATCGTCAGTTAACACCTATATCAGTCCTCAGTTTACACCTATATCAGTCCTCAGTTTACACCTATATCAGTCGTCAATTTACACCTATATCAGTCTTCAGTTTGCACCAATATCAGTCCTCAGTTTACATTTATATCAGTCCTCAGTTTAAACCTATATCTTTCGGCAGTTTACACCTATATCAGTCCTCAGTTTGTACCAATATCAGTCCTCAGTTTACACCTATATCTGACGTCAGTTTAGACCTAAATCAGTCGTCAGTTTACACCTAAATCAGTCGTCAGTTTACACCTATATCAGTCGTCAGTTTACACCTATATCAGTCGTCAATTTACACCTATATCTGTCGTCAGTTTACATCTATAACTGTCGTCAGTTTACACCTATATCTGTCGTCAGTTTACACCTATATCAGTCGTCAGTTTACACCTATATCAGCCGTCAGTTTACACCTATATCTGTCGTAAGTTTACACCTATATCAGTCGTCAGTATACACCTATATCAGTCGTCAGTTTACGCCTATATCAGTCGTCAGTTTACACCTAAATCAGTCGTCAGTTTACCCCTATATCTGTCGTCAGTTTACACCAATATCAGTCGTCAGTGTACACCTATATCTGTCGTCAGTTTACGCCTATATCAGTCGTCAGTTTACACCTAAATCAGTCGTCAGTTTACACCTAAATCAATCGGCAGTTTTCACCTATATCAGTCGTCAGTTTACACCTATATCTGTCGTCAGTTACACCTATATCAGTCCTCAGTTTACACCTATAACAGTCGTCAGTTTACACCTATATCAGTCGTCAGTTTACACCTATATCTGTCGTCAGTTTACATCTATAACTGTCGTCAGTTTACACCTATATCAGTCCTCAGTTTACACCTATATCAGTCGTCAGTTTACACCTATATCTGTCGTCAGTGTACACCTATATCAGTCGTCAGTTTACATCTATATCATTCGTCAGTTTACACCTATATCAGTCGTCATTTTACACCTATATCTGTCGTCAGTTTACACCTATATCTGTCGTCAGTTTACACCAATATCAGTCGTCAGTGTACACCTATATCTGTCGTCAGTTTACACCTATATCTGTCGTCAGTTTACACCTATATCTGTCGTCAGTTTACACCTATATCAGTCGTCAGTTTACACCTATATCTGTCGTCAGTGTACACCTATATCTGTCCTCAGTTTACACCTATATCAGTGGTCAGTATACACCTATATCAGTCGTCAGTTTACACCAATATTAGTCCTCAGTTTACACCTATATCAGTCAACAAGCAACACAAAAACGTTGGCGCTGGCTTGGATGAGCGTACTTGAATCATTGCATTTTTATAATGTTGTAATGTAGATAAGTGAAATAATTCACTTTATTACATTCTTACTAATAAATACGGGGTTTTTTTGTATATGGGATAACCATATAACCCATATCAGCCCTCGCCGTATCACACCCCCAAAACCCGTATCAGCCCCCGCCGTATCACACCCTAAAACCCGTATCAGCCCGCAAAACCCATATCACACCCCTTTTGCCAAAAAAATCGTTTTTCAATATTTCAAAAGAAAAAATAATCATAAGATAATAGTTTTTATTAGTAAGTATGTAATAAACAGAATAAAACACGCCTTTTCCAAATCACACCCAGTATCAACCCTCGACCAATATCAGCCCAAGGGCCGAAGGCCCTTGGGCTGATATTGCAGTCTCGGGTTGATACTGGGTGTGATATGGAAAAAGGCATGTATTATTCTCTATATATACACTTTTATATGTTTGTCACATTTTAGTATTACTCAGCCAAAATATACCATAGCATTCAGAACTTACAAGATCTGTGACAATATACATGAACTGATTGTACTTCTGAGTGATGGACTGGGGAGGAGGATCAGCTCAATTTCTCTGAATTCTTATACATTCATGGCACAATTTCAAAACTGACCTGTACATATATATACATTGAGTTCTTATTTTGCATGAACTAGGTATTTGGAAGTTGTGTTGTAAACTTTCTAAACTTGACAAACACTAAAGTTGACAATTTAACTCAATATAATTGGCATAATTTGTCCACTAGGATATATACATGTTCATATATAGGAATGAATTGACTTTTTATCCACATAATGCTTCAAACTTGAATCTACAAATCATTCTTTGTTACATAAATTCTATATAATTTCAAAGTGGGATAAATTATGTAATTATTGTTTTATTGTCTGCAGATTAGTCCCAACATCTCCATTTCCTGGATTTTTTTTATTGTCGACTACAAATCCTAATATTGGTGTTTATGTTTTGGTTTTTATGTTACAAATGTCACATATCCTCTTGTGTATTGTATACAAACAGTATGTCTTGGCATACAAAAATGAAGACAATTCATAAAAGTTCAAGAAAATTGTCTACTAATTTTGGTGGTAAATATGTTTGTGGTACCCATGTGTTGTCAGTATCTGGAAAGTCCAACCATTTAATGAGAAAATACTGTTTCCAACATAGTAAATCGGTTTTGCTGGAAAGAAACCAAAAAATATAAACATTAATACTAAAATCACTGGTGGTATAAGGTTTAGTGCTATTTCAGAATTATTTTACACTCTTCCCCACCAACCAATATTAGTTCAAGAGCAAGAGTACTTTTATTGTTTCGCCTAACACCCCCTGAAGTTATCTCTTAAAAGCATTGTTGCAATAATTATTCTACTTCATCTAAGCACTCATCAAACTTTCAAGCGACTCCCATTCCAACTGGTCGATCAATTATGAAATGGCCCTTCTGCAACTCTGAACTTTGGAATTGTTGCAATATCTTGCTTGTGAGGAAAAAGAAGTTGTTTACTTGTGAAAGTATCTGAAACAGGCGATTCACTTCCAATATGATAAGTCAGCATTAATAGCTAAATAAATGACAGTTTATCATATATAATAGGGCTTAAAGATAGTGTAATGTTCATTTTATTTTCAAATCAATGAAAAGCGTTACAAATAAATGTCTTACTTATCAAATAATGGGTACTTACATGTTGCTGCAGAATTTCCTTTTTTTGCTTACTTTTGTTTTTTTCTGGCCATCACAATTGGACTTTTCTGAAATGCAATTCATTATGATGTTTTAAATGTGTAAAGCAAGCACATATTTATCTACAAATAAGCCCCTAACTGTCCATAAATAAACCCTTCTTTGTCTTTTGAACCATATTCAATTTAGAAATTATAGACTAAAAATGGTTCACAAATTCCCCCAAACTTCAGCACTAAATCTCCACACTTGCAGAGGGGCTTACTTGAGGAGACAGTAAATGAGACAGTATATGAAGTTTTAAGGACAAGTTAAAGTCTTTTCTGTTGAAGGCCCCCACGCCCCCACCCGGTCTATTTATCTATGTCAATTTAAAATGGGTTCAAATTCCATCATTTGTTTTATCATATAATAGAGTTATATGTAGTACACTAGTATTTTTGTATTAGGCAGCTATCCACTGTAAAAAGGCCACTATTCAAACTGGGTAGTCTATCAAAGTAAATTCTGTGAAAGTTGCCGAAATATATATTACATGCTGCACGTATAAAATCAATTCTTGGTCTTCATTCCTTTCTGTTGTTTAAATGAATTGAAGGAAACTGACGTTGTTGTTTTTTTGCATCTAACAAGAGGCCCATTGGTCATATACAGTCATTTGAGTTCTGATGTAAATAGCGATAGGAAAGAAAAATCAGACCAACAAAAGTATTATTGGAAGTGTCAACAAACAAGCCTGATCCAATATCTATCACACAGATTCAAGACTGCAGAGCTTTTGACTCTAGCAACTCTGGGTCTAAACAATATATAATTCACACTTTTGGTTGACCTTTGGCCATGGATTGCTTCTGCAAAAATTAATTGAAATTGGTTTCGGGGTTTATGAGAAGAAATTGAAAATATAAATTGTTTACAGATAGATGGCAACAGACAAAAGGCCATTGCAATAAATAGGTCACTTCGTCTCCGGTGACCTAAAAAGTAAGGTGTTAAATTCTTGTAAATTTCCACAAACCAATTATAATTACCCATTTTTCACATAAAAATACATAAATTGCTTCTGTCACTTTTTATCAAATATTTTTTTTAAACACAAAAGTATTCTGGCAGTTTTTTTATCATTTTTTTTTTATATGAATGCAGCTTTATATGAATAATTGGACGCTTTTTACAATATTGCTTTTATCCTAGCGATTTTCTTGCTGAGAAAGATATTGATAATCAGTCAATTATGCAATTTACTATAAATACTGGGACAAGTGCGTTTGCTGGTAGTTTCACTTAGTGCAGTCATCGGAAGTGTTGCTGTCATCTGTAGTGGTGCTGTCGTCGGGAGTGGTGCTGTCATCAGTACTGGTGCTGTCATTAGAAGTGGTTCTGTCGTTTGGAGTGGTGCTGTCATCTGTAGTGGTGCAGTCATTGGAAGTGGGACTGTCGTAGGGAGTGGTGCTGTCATCTGGAGTGGTGCTGTCATCTGTAGTGGTGCTGTCATCGGAAGTGGTGCTGTCATCTGTAGTGGTGCTGTCGTCGGGAGTGGTGCTGTCGTAGGGAGTGGTGCTGTCATCTGGAGTGGTGCTGTCATCGGGAGTGGTGCTGTCATCGATAGCGAGCTGTCGTTTGGAGTGGTGCTGTCATCGGTAGTAGTGCTGTCATCAGAAGTGGTGCAGTCGTCCGGGGTGGTGCTGTTATCGATAGAGGTACAAGTGCGTTTGCTGGTAGTTTCACTTAGTGCAGTCATCGGAAGTGTTGCTGTGGTCATCTGTAGTGGTGTGCTGTCATCGGGAGTGGTGCTGTCATCGGTAGTGGTGCAGTCGTTGGGAGTGGTGCAGTTGTCGGGATAGGTGCAGTGGTCTGGAGTGGTGCAGTGGTCTGGAGGGGTGCAGTTGTTGGGAGTGGTACAGTCATAGGGAGTGGTGCAGTTGTCGGAGTGGTGCAGTCATCCGGAGTGTTGCAGTTGTTGGGAATGGTGCAGTTGTCAGGAGTGGTGTGCTTGTTTGGAGTGTTACAGTGGCCTGGAGTGGTGCAGTGGTTTGGAGTGGTGCAGTTGTCGGGAGTGGTGTGCTTGTTTGGAGTGGTGCAGTGGTCTGGAGTGGTGCAGTGGTCTGGAGTGGTGCAGTTGTCTGGAATGGTGCAGTTGTCGGGAGTGGTGTGCTTGTTTGGAGTGGTGCAGTGGTCTGGAGTGGTGCTGTCGTCGGGAGTGGTACAGTCTTAGGGAGTGGTGCAGTTGTAGGTGTAGAAGTCATTTCCTTCCCCGCCTGAAAGTTTCCCCGGGGAAAAAATCAGCTAGCTATTTCTTTCCCCGGGGAAGAAATAGGCTAGTTGATTCTTTCCCCGGGGAAATGAATCAGCTAGCTGATTCTTTCCCCCCTCAGTTAGTTTTTTCCCCGGGGGAAGAAATCAGCTAGCTAATTCTTTCCCCCCACCCCATATTATTATTTTTCCCCGAGGAAGAAATCTGCTAGTTAATGCTCCCCCTCGTAGTGTTTGTTAATGGGGGATATTGGTGACTAGCCAATACTTTTCCTACGTATTAGTTATTAGGGGGGAAGTTATTGGCTAGTTGATTATTTCCCCCCTCTCTGTATTATTAACTAAGGGGAAACTATTGGCTAGCTGATTCTTAAACCTTTAGCTGATTCTTTCCCCTCTCTCTGTATTAGTACATAGGGGGGGGGAACTATTGGCAAGCTGATTCTTCCCCCACTCCGTATTAATAACTAGGGGGGAAACTATTTTCTAGACGATTCTTTCCCCCCTCTCTGTATTAGTAACTAGGGGGGAAACTATTGGCTAGCTGATTCTCCCCCCCCCCTCTGTATTAGTAACCAGGGGGTAACTATTGTCTAGCCGATTCTTTCCCCCCTCTGTATAAGTAACCAGGGGGGAAACTATTGCCTAGCTGATTCTTTCCCCCTCTCTGTATTAGTAACCAGGGGGGAAACTATTGGCTTGCTGATTCTTTCCCCCCTCTGTATTAGTAACCAGGGGGAAACTATTGTCTAGCCGATTCTTTCCCCCCTCTCTGTATCAGTAACTAGGAAGGAAACTATTGGCTAGCTGATTCTTTCCCCCCTCTCTGTATTAGTAACTAGGGGGGGGGAAATATTGGCTAGCTGATTCTTTCCCCCCTCTCTGTATTGGTAACCAGGGGGAACTTATTGTCTGTATGATTCTTTCCCCCTCTGTATTAGTAACCAGGGGGAAACTATTGTCTAGCTGATTATTTCCCCCCTCTGTATAAGTAACCAGGGGGAAACTATTGACTAGCTGATTCTTTCCCCCCTCTCTATATTAGTAACTAGGGGGGAAACTATTGGCTAGCTGATTCTTTCCCCCTCTGTATAAGTAACCAGGGGGAAACTATTGTCGAGCTGATTCTTTCCCCCCTCTCTCTATTAGTAACTAGGGAAGAAACTATTGGCTAGCTGATTCTTCCCCCCCCCCACCANGGGAGACATTTATTGGGTTTTTAGTAAACTTTTTGTTTTGCGGGGCTCCCTCAGTATTTCTTCAAATGGAGAAAATATTGGCTTTATCATAAAAGCTCCCAACCCCCACCTGTATCACCTTTAGAATGGATACCTTATTGTTAGATTGTATATATACAAGACTGACGTCTGCATTTAAAACAATCAGGAGTTAGAAAATAGTCCTAAATTGGTGAATATTTTCTCAATGTTGAAAGGAAGATAAATTAGAGAAATGCTTATTAAAAGAATCTGATAAATACATAAATGTAAATAATAATCAATATATGACAATTGAACACTTAATTGTTCATAGCTGTTTGTCTGTGTGTCATGTGTCTTTGTTTAGTCCTAGCGAACCTGGTAGTTTCTATCATTGCTGGCATATATATACTTATCATAAATAAAACCTTGATGGGGGAAACTGAATCTGTTATAAATAAAATGTAGAAATAAACTAAAAAAATATTCAACTTTTTATTCTAATGCATCTATATTTTATTTTACTAATTACATGATACCTTTCAGGTATCTCTCGGGCAAGAGATACAGATGTTCACATAAAGTGAAAATTTAAGTGACACCCAAATTACAATTGAAATAACAGTGTGTTACAAAAAGACAGTTGCCCTTCAAGATCACCAGACCTTTACAAGCATTGATAAAAAATTAATGTGTCAATATGGGCTTATACATGTAATTAAATATAATTATATATAATTACACCTGGCATAAGGCTTTCCTGAATCATGTAGTGGTCTTTTGTTTTTATAAAGGTAGCATAGCCAACAAGTCTGGACCTTCTGTTTAGGCCTGTATACTGGCCAATTGTTTAGTTGGTATGGCTTCAAACCTTGACATGTTTCACGACTGGAAATAGTACTATTCTGTATGTCTCTGTCCATATCATCATTTACGTTGATGCAAACAACATCACTACAACTTGAACAACCATGGAAGATGACTCCTACAATGAACTAGTTCTTTACCTCAGTAAATCAGACTATCCTGTCTATGTAACTACCATCAAAGATCCAACGAAGAAGAAAGCTGAAAAAAGAAGAATTCGCATCAACGCTAAGGGATTCCAGTGCAGAGATGGTACCCTGTACAAAGAAGACAAGAAGGTCCTGAGACACAACGAAGTACAAGCTGTTTTGACCAGCCTACACTCAGGTAATTATTCATAATTAGTGGTTTAATTATGTGAGTAAAGAAATGTACATTTAGATAACAGTGAAGACCCTTACAATTATACTAAATACGTATATATTCACCAGTTTAAGTTATAACATTTTTTTTAATTTATAAAATATTATTCAAACTTACAGTTGTACTAAATACAGATATATTCACCAGTTAAAGTTAGATATTTTTTTTAATTTATAAAATATAATTTAAACTTACAGTTGTACTAAATACAGATGTATTCACCAGTTTAAGTCATATATTTTTTTTATTTATACAATATAATTAACAAAAAATGTCAAATATAGTTTTTTGTTTACATGGCAATCTATTTTGTAATTTATTTCACATGGTTCCATAGGTAAACAATATAATTCTACCATATTTTGAGTCTTTATAAATGATACTTTTTCCCCCGTGTTTTAAATTAATCTTTATTATATTCCTAAATATTGCACTTGTGTTTAACTGACACTTTTTATTTTAAATATTGTCTAGATTTAATTTAAATAAACAAAAATTAACTGACTATCATGATCAGGACCATATATATATAATTATCAAGTTTATAACTAAAACATTATTACAGCAAATACAGCTTCTTTGCAACAGATTATGGTTAAGAATTTCTGAGTCTGTTATTTTGTTCCCTTTTTTTTCTTTCTTGTTTTTCTCTACCTCAAAAGAGGGTTCTAAATAGTTTTCCTGGTCTTTACATGTACAGTAGAGATGTACTTTATGAGCAAAATATGAAAATATATATAAACATAATGAGAAATATTGTGGAAATAAAATGAAGACTATACTAAAGTTAGAATAAATTTAGTATCCTTGGTCCAAGGGTTTCTTATTTAAAAAAATAATCGAATTATATTTACTTGTACTGAAAGAGCAGTCTTTGAAATATAAATATAGCCTTATAGCTATCTTTTTGTACAAAATTTAGTCCTCTTGGCCCAAGGATCCTTAATCCATACAACAGAGATTGTTAATTGAAATCTCTATGTATATCCTGTACTCATACTGACAGAGAAGGAATTTAAAGGAATCTGATTTACTTTAGTTTGGCTGTATTATCATCTTCTCCATTGATAAGTAAAATGTACATTTTGAAATTTTAAGTATATAATAATCTTATTTTTTAAGAGTTTTCCATTTTCTTATTCACTCAACAATCAGTGATAAATAGCTCGTAGATTTTTTTTAGCAAAACGATACAAAAAGGATGCCACTATTATCTTAAGAAGTGGTTTGCCTCTGTTTTCACATAAGTGTGTATATATGAGCATGCACCAACGCATAAACAGTATTGTATATAGGCTACAAACTTCACAGTTTATAAATTTGTATAATTAAACTGATCTTTGCATCAAATGTATCTTGAATCGATAACTAAACAAAAAGACTAGGGTCTTAGAAGTTCACCTGCTTTGATGTTTTTGCTTTCATATGAAACAAAAAGATGGATTTCAGGAACACATTGATTAAACTTGAATATTAATTTTGCATCACTGTACGCCTTTCCCCATTCAAAATAGAACTGTTCAACCTATTGTTTTCATAAATGAATATATGTTCAATTAATCTCAAAAAGTAACAAATTTGTAGCTTCTCCATCTGATTATTAAGAATCACTAATGAAATAAGGTATTTTAACACACTTATTTTCTGAAGATAATTTACAAATGCTTCGCAAGAATCACTCGATCTTCTTTCTTCAAAAACTATCAATAATACAAAAAACCTAGGGATCATTTAGGTCAAATTAAATTATAATCAAGAAAAACCTATATTTTCCTTTTGGGCCCCACCCCTATGCCCCAGAATAGCCATATCATCCTTGATGATGTCTCTTTCAACAAAACAAACTCTAGATCAATTTAGATTCAAATTATTTTATCTGTGCATATATATACTTTCCAACCCATCTTTTCTTAGGGAATTGACATCATCCGTCTATACAATGTAAATTGAATTGTTTCAATCCCCAAAGAAAGCTCCAAATCAATTGATGTTAAAATCCCTTTACCCCTACTCAAAGCATCAGACGGTTTTCCTACATTTTCCATACTGGACTGTGTCTTTCTGCTCCCAAAGGGGCTTCATTCAACCTTCATCTATTCAATGTTGGATACTTGAATTCTTTTATGCTTTCATTTTCCTTACAGATGCTATTACCTAGTACCATTATGGAAATCCTAAATGTACAATGTACATTAACTTAGG